AGTCGAGACCGAGTCCGTTGGTTTTCAAATACAGTCAAGACCGAGTCAAGACCGAGTCTTTGAAGGGTCGAGTCCGAGTCAAGACCGAGTCCGTTGGTTTTGAAATACAGTCTAGTCTGAGTCAAGACCGAATCTTTGAAGGGTCGAGTCAGATTCAAGTCCGAGTCAAGACCGAGTCAAGACCAAGTCTTTGAAGGGTCGAGTCCAAGTCAAGACAGAGTTTTTGAAGAGTCGAGTCCGAGTCAAGACCGAGTCTTTGAAGGGTCGAGTCCAAGTCAAGACCGAGTCTTTGAAGGGTCGAGTCCGAGTCAAGACCGAGTCTTTGAAGAGTCGAGTCCGAGTCAAGACCAAGTCTTTGAAGAGTCGAGTCCGAGTCAAGACCGAGTCTTTGAAGGGTCGAGTCCGAGTCAAGACCAAGTCTTTGAAGAGTCGAGTCCGAATCAAGACCGAGTCTTTGAAGGGTCGAGTCCAAGTCAAGACCGAGTCTTTGAAGGGTCGAGTCCGAGTCAAGACCGAGTCTTTGAAGAGTCGAGTCCGAGTCAAGACCGAGTCTTTGAAGGGTCGAGTCCGAGTCAAGACCGAGTCTTTGAAGAGTCGAGTCCGAGTCGAGACCGAGTCCGTTGGTTTTCAAATACAGTCTAGTCTGAGTCAAGACCGAATCTTTGAAGGGTCGAGTCAGAGTCAAGTCCGATTCAAGACGGAGTCGAGTCCGAGTCAAGACCAAGTCTTTGAAGAGTCGAGTCCGAGTCAAGACCGAGTCTTTGAAGGGTCGAGTCCAAGTCAAGACCGAGTCTTTGAAGGGTCGAGTCCGAGTCAAGACCGAGTCTTTGAAGGGTCGAGTCCGAGTCATGACCGAGTCTTTGAAGGGTCGAGTCCAAGTCAAGACAGAGTCTTTGAAGGGTCGAGTCCGAGTCAAGACCGAGTCTTTGAAGGGTCGAGTCCGAGTCATGACCGAGTCTTTGAAGGGTCGAGTCCAAGTCAAGACCGAGTCTTTGAAGGGTCGAGTCCAAGTCAAGACCGAGTCTTTGAAGAGTCGAGTCCGAGTCAAGACCAAGTCTTTGAAGAGTCGAGTCCGAGTCAAGACCGAGTCTTTGAAGGGTCGAGTCCAAGTCAAGACCGAGTCTTTGAAGGGTCGAGTCCGAGTCATGACCGAGTCTTTGAAGGGTCGAGTCCAAGTCAAGACCGAGTCTTTGAAGGGTCGAGTCCAAGTCAAGACCGAGTCTTTGAAGAGTCGAGTCCGAGTCAAGACCAAGTCTTTGAAGAGTCGAGTCCGAGTCAAGACCGAGTCTTTGAAGGGTCGAGTCCAAGTCAAGACCGAGTCTTTGAAGGGTCGAGTCCGAGTCATGACCGAGTCTTTGAAGGGTCGAGTCCAAGTCAAGACCGAGTCTTTGAAGGGTCGAGTCCGAGTCAAGACCGAGTCTTTGAAGGGTCGAGTCCGAGTCATGACCGAGTCTTTGAAGGGTCGAGTCCGAGTCATGACCGAGTCTTTGAAGGGTCGAGTCCAAGTCAAGACCGAGTCTTTGAAGGGTCGAGTCCGAGTCAAGACCGAGTCTTTGAAGGGTCGAGTCCGAGTCATGACCGAGTCTTTGAAGGGTCGAGTCCAAGTCAAGACCGAGTCTTTGAAGGGTCGAGTCCGAGTCAAGACCGAGTCTTTGAAGGGTCGAGTCCGAGTCATGACCGAGTCTTTGAAGGGTCGAGTCCAAGTCAAGACCGAGTCTTTGAAGGGTCGAGTCCAAGTCAAGACCGAGTCTTTGAAGAGTTGAGTCTGAGTCAAGACCGAGTCTTTGAAGAGTCGAGTCTGAGTCAAGACCGAGTCACTTAAATAAAGCGTTATAAAGTTTGAAATTAAGACTTTTTATGTTTCAACAAAGTCTCTTCTGCTCAGCAAGGCTGCATTTGTTTGATGAAAAAATTGGTAAAAATAAGTAAAATTATGAAATATTATTCCATTTAAAATAACTGTTTTCTATGTGAATATTTATTAAACTGTAATATATTCAAAGCTGAATTTTCAGCATTATTACTCCAGTCTTCAGAGTCACACGATCCTTCAGAAATCATTATAATATGATGCGTTTATGCTCAAGAAACATTTATGATTATTATCAATGTTGAAAACAGTTTTATTGTAGAAATGAATCACAAGCATTCAAGTCTTAGGTAAGCAAAAAAAAAAAGAAAAGAACATGTTTATTCTGCAACGACGCAATAAATTGACCAAAAGTGCCAGTAAAGACATTTATAATGTTAAAAAAATATTATATTTCATCAAATAATCTTTGTGTGTGTGTGTGTGGGGGGGGGGGGGATCCCTGTTTGTTTACACAAAAATATGAAGCAGCAAAAACTCTGATAATAATACAAATCATTCTTTAAAAAGCTTTTAAAAAAATCGAGCATCAATAATAATTGAGCAGCAAATCATTATATTACAATGACGTCTGATGTATCATGTGGCACTGAAGATGATATCATGCAAGAACCTGATGCCACTAACCTGGTTAGTTCTCCCTCAGAAGCAGCGTCAGGCAAAGGGATATAGCCTTCGATTTTGGCAAACTTTAACTTGTAATATGCATCAGAAAGTCTGCGAAGGGTCCGTGGGCGTCCCGTCAGAGAGTGAAAACAGGCTTGAGAAAATTCCTGCCAGAAACCCTGCTAAAAACCACACATTACATCAGTGAGCGATGGCCCTAAAGAAATGTTTTCTAGCATAAACACCCACACACACACACACACACAGACAGACAAGGTGTGTGTCCTCACCGCTCAGCTTACATACAAACAAGTCTCCTCCAGCTGTGTGACCCTTGCACACCAAAGGTCACCGTCCTGTCCTTGCGGTCACCTGTTATTTCAGTTTCCGTCATGATAATGATGTAATTGACCCACTGACCCCAGAATTAACCTTTAACCCGTGTTGCCTGACATAACGGAACCATCACCTGAAATCCCATGACCCTTCTTTTTGGCCAGGAAGTGATGTTTCTATTTTAGGAGGCCAGATGAAGCCAATATGCGTTTTGTTTTCCCCCCTAGGCTTCTCGATACTGATATCCATTTCAGTTAAGCTAAAACTGACAACTGTCATTATTAACTCACTGCAAAGCTGTCTGACATACTTTCTTCTGTGGAACATTAAAGAAGATAGTTTGAAGAATGTTCACACTCCTATTTTCCTTACAATGTAATTATGTATTTTTATTGTGCATTCATATGCAGTCAAATCAAAGGAGAACTTATATTTGAGTTTCTGCAGGCTTCAGAAGATTAAATAACATTTATTATGATTTTTTTTTTAGGGTTTGCATAGCCTTTCATTTTCATGCTGAAAAACAGTGTAGATTTGAAATGATTTTCCTGAGAAATTGCTTGTAAAGTTCTCAAATTATTCTAAAGAAACGGCACGTTGCATTGAATTAAACATGACATTTTGAAATTTAAAAAGACTAGCTACTCCAATAATCTTTGTTTTTGTTACAAATTCGAAAATGCAGTGAACGCAAATTGACAAAACGACAAATACAGTCTAAAAAATGCTGGGTTTTTGCAACCCAAATTTGGGTCAAATATGGACAAATCCAAATGTTGGGTTAAAAATTTAATTAAAAAATGTACAGTTGAAAGTTGAAGATTTTAAATGACATTGTTAACCCAACATTTGGTTTTGTCCATATCTGACCCAAATTTAGCAGTGTTGATAATGGGGTGTAAAAATGTTGGGTTGTTTCAACCCAAATTTGGGTCAAATATGGACAAACCCAAATGTTGGGTTAAAATTTAATTAAAAAATTTACGGTTGAAAGTTGAAGATTTTAAATGACATTGTTAACCCAACATTTGGTTTTGTCCATATTTGACCCAAATTTGGGTTGAAACAACCCAGCATTGTTTAGAGTGTAGAAAATGGGGTGTAAAAAATGCTGGGTTGTTTCAACCCAAATGTTGGGTCATGTATGCACAAAACCAAATGTTGGGTTAACAATATAATTAAAAAATGTACCGTTGAAAGTGAAAATTGAAGATTTTAAATGACATTTTTAACCCAACATTTGGTTTTGTCCATATTTGACCCAAATTTGGGTTGAAACAACCCAGCATTGTTTAGAGTGTAGAAAATGGGGTGGAAAAAATGCCGGGTTGTTTCAACCCAAATTTGGGTCAAATATGGACAACACCAAATGTTGGGTTAAAAATATAATTTAAAAAATGTACCGTTGAAAGTGAAAGTTGAAGATTTTAAATTACATTGTTATCCCAACGTTTGGGTTTGTCCATATTTGACCCAAATTTGGGTTGAAACAACCCAGCATTGTTTAGAGTGTAGAAAATGGGGTGTAAAAAATGCTGGGTTGTTTCAACCCAAATTTGGGTCATATATGCACAAAACCAAATGTTGGGTTAAAAATGTAATAAAAAAAAATTAAAGTGGGACCCACATTTTTAACCCAACATTTGGGTTTGTCCAAATTTGGCCCAAATTTGGGTTGAAACAACCCAGCATTGTTTAGAGTGTAGAAAATGGGTTGTTCAAGATGCATGCATGAAGAAAAGACCAAAACCAGTTCTTGACGGTAACGTTTGCAACTGATTACATTGATTATTCAAACAAATGAAGCAAATAATTCAGCAGGATCTTAAAGGAACATCTCTGAATGGGATTTAATAACTGAATGAACGTTTTGATCCAACGGGGAACTTCTAATAAGCGACCCGCGGATCGTATGACAAAACGGAGCAAGAGGACAATCCGAGCAATTTCAGGGTCTTGCTGATAATAATCCGAGCAGCTTCGGCTTTCCGGCACGGATTTCAGCAGAGCGAGACAAACAAAGCTTTCTTTGAACAGAGCTCGAGAGCAACATCTCCGTCTCGCTTGTTATAATCAAGGCCTTTAGAACGAAGAGGACTCTCCTGAACGCTTATCCTAACGCTTCATTGTGCGTTTGGAGCAGAACCGTATAGTGTTGTTGTACACTGCACTGCCTCTCTCCGAAAAACACCTCCACGCAGGAGGGCGGAACGGATGGATTATGGGATTTATCCAGGAGTCATTTCTTACCGAGTAACAGGACTCCGTGGCAGGCGGACAGGCGAAATTGCGGCGGGGTAGACGTTAAACGCTGGAAAATTAGGGAGGGGTAACCCTATCTGCCCACTTACAAATGTCCGATAATCCGGTACATGTGCAGGCCACTGAGGAGATACTCTCCCTTTTAAGCCCCCTTGTCGGTCCCAGCAGATCTTACAGCGTTTGGCGTGGAACACAAAGTCACATGCAATTAAGTTCGCAATCCTGACAAAGACTCTCTAGGGATGCGGGAACCACAAAAGTGGGAAACTCCCATTTGTTGGGTTAGTAGCGAGCGACGCGATGATTCAGAGTGATGCAGCAGAAGTGAGTATTAGCCCTTTTAATCCAGGCTTTAAGCGCTGGCCCTTCTTACATATGCAAGTGGAGGATGAAATGGCAGATATCTGATGGCTGACTGAATCTCTTCATTAATCAAACGCCTCTGACGTCAATCGTGTAGAGTAATGCCATCCAGCAAAAGAGAAAGCATCAATCTGCAATCATTAAAAAGCCATGCTTACATAATGATTTATGATGCTCGTCGCCGGTAATAACGTATGATAACACTTCTGCATGCTCTATTGCAGATTATTATGGTGTAAAATGAAACTCAATAGATGTCCGGCATGCCATGAGGCTTATTTTTATGCAAATGTTTGCATTGCACATTCCCTGCGGTTACGGTTTGCATTGATGCTGAGCGTGAGAGATTTCACTCGTTTTCACGGCTATTCGTTTGAATAGATGCTGAGACATTGCATGTAAATTAATTCACAGAATCTGAAATGCAAACCTATAAATATTTAAATAAATAAATACATTCATAAAATGTAAAAAGAAAATGTAAGAATAAATAAACAAATAAATAAATAAGTGAGAACTAAAAGATAAATAAATGTAAGAACAAAAATATAAATAAATGCAAGAACAAAACCAAAATATTAAATGCAAGAACAATAAATAAATAAATAAATAAATTCAAGAACAAAAGAAAGATAAGTACATGCAATAACAAAGCAAAAATAATAAATAAATACAAGAACAAAACAATAAATAAATGCAAGAACAAAACCAAAATATTAAATACAAGAACAATAAATAAATAAATGCAAGAACAAAAGATAGATAAATGCAATAACAAAACAAAGATAATAAATAAATGCAAGAACAAAACAAAATAAAAAATAAATGCAAGAACAAAATATAAATAAATGCAAGAACAAAACCAAAATATTAAATACAAGAAAAATAAATAAATAAATAAATGCAAGAACAAAAAAGATAGATAAATAAATGCAATAACAAAACAAAGATAACAAATAAATGCAAGAACAAAACAAAATAATAAATAAATTCAAAAACAAAAATATAAATAAATGCAAGAACAAAGCCAAAACATTAAATACAACAAAAATAAATAAATAAATAAATGCAAGAACAAAAGATAAATAAATAAATGCAAGAACAAAAGATAGATAAATAAATGCAAGAACAAAAGATAGATAAATCAATGCAATAACAAAACAAAGATAATAAATAAATGCAAGAACAAAAAATAAAACAAATAAATGCAAGAACAAAACAAAATTAATAAATAAATGCAAGAACAAAACAAAATAATAAATAAATTCAAGAACAAAACTATAAATAAATAAATGCAAGAACAAAAAATATAAAAAAAATTAATGCAAGAACAAAACAAAATTAATAAATAAATGCAAGAACAAAAGATAAATAAATAAATAAATGCAAGAACAAAACAAAAATAATAAATAAATGCAAGAACAAAAAATTAAATAGACAGTTTATTTTATTTTATTTTTTTAAAAACAAGTTTAAAAACATAAGAAAATAAATAAATATGCGTAAAAACAAAAAGTTAAATAAAAAGCTAAATAAATAAGTTAATAAATGAATATTAAATTAATAAATCAGCATGTAAAAAATAATGTCAGGCAATTCTTGATATTGCAGCTTCATACTAAATAGAGAAGCCCTGCCACTGTCCTTGCTATCCCATTAAATGTCCCAATTCCTGTCAGTGTTCAGTTTTTCCAGGATGATTTACATCCTCAAACAGCAGAGAAGGACACATGCTGAAGACGCCACAGCTCTGAGTATTCTCCGCTCCTGTCCACTGCCGAGGGGAAAGTCTGCCTCTGTTTTACTTTCCGAGCGCCAGGTGAAGAAAGAGGGGTAAATGGGAGTCATAATGGGAGTCATTATTCCCCGCCGGCGACAGCAGAAGACAGGACGGAGTGTGTCATGTGTGATGACAGAGACTAAAGTAAAGCATGAACGAGGAACAGCTGAAGACATGCAGGACGGAGTGTCATGTGTGATGACAGAGACTACAGCATCCTAAAGAAAACCGTGCGCGATGATGCATTCGACGGAGAAAGAGTGTGTGTGTGTGATGGACGATGAACAGAAGCAGTAGATCTGGTCAGTGTACGTGCACGCGAGCGGGTCACACACACATACAACTCATTTATTACTAAGTGACAGTTCCATACTCAACTAAATGAGGCTTGACCTGCCGCCTGCCTGTTTATGCCTTCATTCAAATGTCTTAATTGCGTGTGTGAGATCAAGTACATCATGCATAGACGTGGCCCTCATTCATGAACGACCATCTCTCCAAACCACACCAAACGCCGCGGGTTTGTGGAAGCATGAAAACACACACAGCGCTCATAACATTTTCCACCATGTGAACTTTTTGTGTTGTTTGACACTGCTGTTGTAATATGTGTGCATGGCTTATTTTCATTCGGAAATTTCTCGGGTTTGTTTCTCGCGTCAGGTTTTGGGGTTTTTTTGGAAGTGCATCAATCCATGATAAAAGTGTAATAAAGACCTTCTGAAGTGAAGCGATGTGTTTGTGTATTTATGTTCAAAATACTCATATTTAAAACTTTATTAGGTAACATTTTACAATACGGGTGCACTAATATGCATCAATTCATGCTTAACTAATGCACAGATAATCATGAGTTAATGTATAACTCATGAAGAACTAAACCATTGATTACTGCATCAGCAACCAATAAAGAGTCTATATGATTAATAGATTAAGTAATACATGAATTGCTATTAATTCAATGTGTCATTGTGTATTAATTCCTTAATAACATATTTTATGAACTAATAGTGTAAATTAATGCGTTAATTACAACAAGTCAATATGCACTTCAACTTCCAGTTGTCTGCTTTAATTAATCATTAGCTAATGATTTGCAAAGGCATCATTATGTTATGACTTTACTTGTTGGGGCACATCATTATTAACTAGTTATTTAGTAATTTGCACATGAATTTGCAGTAACAATGAAGCAATTAATCATATATTAATGCATATTAGTGCACCTGTCATATTATCTGGAAGTTGAAATACAAGACTTTGGCTCATTCTGGTAATTAACATATTAATTAACACTATTAGTTAAAACATGAGTTATTATGGAATTAATCCACAATTACGTATTAAATTAATAAGAATTAATGCATGAACTAATACATTAACCCTACAAACTCTTAATTAGTTCCTAATGTGGTAATCATTAATGAATAGCTTAAATAATCATTAGTTAGACATTAATTCCGTATTATCTGGGCATTAGTTAAGCATGAATTAATGCTTATTAGTGCACCCGTATTGTACAGTGTTACCGTTTGTTTGAACCGTGAGTAAGTGTTACTCTTTTGGCACAAGTCGACTTGCATGCAGCTGTATATATGCTGTATATAAATTATTCTCTATTATGAAAGCCTAATTATATTCAATTGTATAATTATTAAAAAATATATTATTTAAAAATATGGATTTAAATAAATAAATATATATATATATAAATATATAACACAAAAAAACAACAAAACTTTAAAATTAAAGCTGCAAGCAACATTTGGCGGTGTTCAAGCAGTTAAGGCCACAAAAGCATCAAAAGACATTAAGTTTTATGTAGCAAGCATTTAACCACTGACATCATAGATGGAATAGACCATGTTTCATGCTATATCTTTTGACTGTATTTTGCACGGACCATTTTCTAAATGACCCTGTTGTAGCCAACCAAATGCAAAATTTCAACTTATTGATCTAGAGAGTCCAGGGAATTGTTCTAGACGATGTCTGTTTCCTATCGGGTGAAAAACCAGGGACTAGTTCGCAAAAGTAGGTTTTGGACAAAATTCGACATAGAGGACCAATCTAGTCCTTTTGGTTGCTGTAGCGTCACCTATGGGCCAATCGGGCTCATACTCTGGTTCTCTCCAAATTGAGGCCTACCATCTGGCCGAGTTTCAATTCTCTACTCAAATAACACTAACCCAAATAATGTTTAATTGAAGTTAAACTTTGCTGCAACAGAATCAGGCGTCTTTTACAAAATAATAACTCTGAAAATATAGAGAAAAGGGCAGAAAGCGAGTGAAAGAAGACAGATGATGGTCTATCTGTCTGGAAAGCAAGGAAACGACAGTGAGGACGATCTGCTGGAGTGACTCGCAGCTGTTTCTGGGTATAAGAGGAGCGTTAGGTTAAGCCCATTTCCCACAGGCAGTAATTGCTATAGCAAATGTCTCTTAATGCAATTGAAGTAATGCATGCTGGCCTCTGCATGGGCCAGTCTGGGACGGCTTCACTTCATGAGGAGTGACAGACTTATATTCCATTACCACTATTAACAGTCATTCTGCTTTTCAAATAACAGGAGAAACCGCTGTAAACACTGAGACTGATCAGTGTGTGTGTGTGTGTGTTTAGAGCACAGATAATCACGTATTTTCCAAATGTTTGACATCACTCTGCTGACCTGAGCCAGAATGAAGCTTAAAGGTATTTCATGGGAAAATTTATAAAAAATGGGGTACGACGCCTTCAAGATCTCAATCCAAAGACAAGAGAGAGAGGAGAGAAGTGTTGGGGTGTTACTTTTAAAGGGCGAGAGCAGGGAAATGTGCAATTTACCAGCAGTAGTGATGTGGGACCACTGAATAGTTGTGCTGGTGATGCACACTCTAAATAAAATAAAATAAAATAAAATAAAATAAAATAAAATAAAATAAATAAAATAAAATAAAATAAAATAAAATAAAATAAAATAAAATAAATAAAATAAAATAAAATAAAATATCATTGAATATTCCACACTGAATAGAAAAAAAAATAAAAAAAATCAACAAAATAAATGATAAAATAATATAAAATAAAATAAATAAAAAGTAATAGCGTACATAAATGAAAAAAAAAATACATAAGATTAACAAAATAAAAATAAATAAGTTTGATAAAAGTAAACTAAAATAAAACAAAATAATCAATATATAAAATAAAATAAATAATAAAATAAAAACATAAATAAATATAAAATAAAATCTAAAATAAAATCATTGAATATTCCACATTGAATAAAAAATTACATCCATAAAAATGAACAAAATAATAATAAAATAAAATAAATAAAAAGTAATAGCCTACATATATGGAAAAAAAAGTAAATACATATATAAAACTAAAAACATTAAAACTAAATAAGTTATAAAGTAAACTAAAACAAAAAAATAAACAATATATAAAATAAAATAAATAGCAATAAAAACAAATAAATATCAAATCAAATATAAAATAAAATATAAAATATCATTGAAAATTCCACATTGAATAAAAAATTAAATCCATAAAAAAATAAATGTATTAAAATAAATAATATAAATAAAAAAACAAAATAATAATAAAATAAAATAAAAGGTAATAGCCTACATAAATGGGAAAAAATAAGTTAGATACAAGTAAACTAAAACAAAAAATAAACAATATATAAAATAAATAACAAAATAAAATAAAAACATAAATAAATGTGAAATAAAAATAATATATATAATTACATTACATAATATATATATATATATATATATATATAAAAATTTACAAAATAATAAAAAATAAATAAACAAATAAAAATAGACAAAAGTAAACTAAAGCAAAACAAAATAAACAATAAAATAAAATCATGTAAAATTGAGTATATTAAATAAATATAGTAACTTGGATATTCTTGTGTAAATTTAACAAATACTTTACTCAATACTAGAAAAAAAGCTCATATGATTCTACCAACACAAGAAACCAAGATTGTCTATTGTATATGTCTTTTAAAAAAATACTGTACAACAAAAGTTCATTAAAATATAGGTAAAGTGTTACTTGTGACACATAACCCTCCACCCCGAGAAAGAGTGTGTGATCAAATCGTAACATCAGGAACAGTGGCAGAACAGAAGGAGACGAGGTTGTTCTGGACTGGAGCTGAGACTGATTCAGGCAAATATGATTCAGGCTGCTAATTCCAGTCATGTGAATGAAGAGATTAATTAGTGGGAACACTGGGATCTGAAACAGTGGCAATCCAATCGCTTCAACCCCACCCCCCCAAAATCTTTTCTCTCGTCCTTCGCATCCCCATTTCCGTAATTAATTCAGCCGAGCACTAATTACTGGAGGCTTTTCCCAAACACAGTGAGGGGGGAGGAGGATAATCAAGTCCCATCGCTCCACAAAAAAAGAAAGAGAAAGAATGCCATTTTGGAGGAAGAGAGGTGGAAAAATCGAATAAACAAATTTGTTTAGTTCATTTCGAACCCTGGAGGGTTTGAGGCCGGGAAAACCGCACTCTCTCCATCCCGTTTCCACAGCAAATTGATATTCCTCTCCACGGCTCCCGGCCCGATCCTTTCACCCGGCTCTCTTTGATGAAGTTCTGAGGGACAGCCGGCCGGCACTGACATCACGACAGCACAATGCATCGTGGGAGGAGAGAACAGACATGGCATTAGTGAAGAGAGTCATGGGGAGTTGGCCATATGCAGATGAAGTGGGGCGCGCATTTCATTTACTAATTCCCAATGTTGTTATGAGTGCGTAGTGCGTTTTCCAACTGTATAAGTAAACCTATAATGAGCAAACAACTCAAATTCGGGATTGGTACTAAAAATTTTGGTTTGGTTTGCATTCGTCCGGCATAAAGGCTTTCATCTGTATACGCTTAAAGGGATAGTTCGCCTAAAAAATTTGCATTTAGTGAATATGTTTCATCATATGTCCATCATTCTTACAGAAAACTATTCTACCTCAATAAAATATCGATAGCAACATATCGTAACGACAGACACAATTCTCGTTGAGACTTGGGTCTGCACTGTAAAAAATATTTTCAAAATCACAACATATTTTCTTTTGTCAAATCAACTTTATAATAATTTATTTAGTTGAGATAACTTATTATTTTGAGTTTCTGATGGTTAAATTGATCTACTTCATTGTATTAACTCACAGTTCAATCAACTTAAAATTTTAAGGCAACCCAGGTTACTTACTTTTTTAAGTTAAACCAACAATATTTTTTACAGTGTAGTAATCACAACATTTTTTCTTTTGTCAAATCAACTTAAATAATTTATTTAGTTCAGATAACATATCATTTTGAGTTTCTGATGGTTAAATTAATCTCCTTCATTGTATCAACTCACTTTTTCCAGTTCAATGAACTTAAAATTTTAAGGCAACCAGGTTACTTACATTTTTTAAGTTAAACCATCAATATTTTTTTACAGTGTGGGAACCACATGCACAATTTCTCGTATTTGAGGCGTGGTTTACGAATGCCCGGCGCCGTTTATTGGATGCTAAGAATGTCTATCAAATGCGCCTGTACGTAGCTCATCATAGCCAATCGTTTCCATTAGAAAAACACAAGTATTATTAAGTAGTTTAACATAGAAGTTGTTATTTGCATTGGAAATTGTTTGCGCTTGAACTTCACAAGTTTAAAAAAAAAAAAAAATCATTTAATGACTAAAGTCAACAACTTTAATCAGGTACGTGTGCACAGCTGAAAGTTATGCTACTAAAGCGGTAGCTGTATATTGATATTGAAAAGCAACACAACTTAGTGACACTGTGACAACCACAGTAGGTAGTCTACAGGCATGATGACAATATGATATTAATAAATAGCACTTACCATTTATAAGTTAAAGGACTTCGTCGACGACGATGCCTAGCAGGACTTTGCGCTCATCCAGGCCTCGGGACTGCCGAACAGAAGTTGGTGTCGACAATTCTTTATCACATTTTCCTTCTCGGGACACAGCTGAGCGGCAGATATTCCAAGGTTGACCGCCTCCTGAACTGGTCCTCCATTTGGGCGATTAATGGCGAGACAACAATAACGACTGGGGTCTCGCGAAATTTAACGTCAAAAACGGCTCTTTTTTCAAAATAAACTTGCATTAAACTACTTAAAACTATATCTAATGCTGCATCAAAAGGTAGCTTCGCGTCTGCTACCATGTTGAATCCATAGATATAAACAAACTGCGTCGTGTGAGGGATAGATGTCGTCATCGTCTTGCTGCTCCCTCCCCGTTCTGTGATTGGTTCCCTAAATGAGGCGAAAAATCTGGCCATGGTATCCAGACTGCCTTTCAGCGTGAATTGAATCGTATGGGGAAACCCAGACTAACATATCATACTGATGAATAAAGATATTTTAAGCAAAGTCTCGTTATTTTTTTGTTTGTTTGTTGTTGGTCCTAAAAATGTAGGGTTAAGTGGACTTTTGGACCCCATTGACTTTTATTGTATTGACATAAAATTGTTCAAAATATCTTGATTTTTGTTCCATAGAAGTCCATTTTTAGACCATTTTTTGGGTGTACTGTCGCTTTAAGAGCCGCCTGTTGTTGTCTCGTTCCCTCTTTCACAAACACACAAACATGACAATGAAATCCAGTGGAGTTGTTCAGGGCAACGCAACATCTCAGAAAGAGCGAGTGGGGGGGGGCTATGATGTCATTGTTCCGGGGGCCCCGTGTAGGGTGTATGTGTGTGTGTGTGTGTGCATGCGTGCAATGAGATCCTACTGGAATGATGTCACCTTTTGTTGCCCATCTCCATTCAACACAGCCGATCTAGCCTGAATTGAGTCCTGAGGAGAGAAGTGTGAGAAACTGCAGGCTAAGTTAGAGGACATGCTAATAGCGCTAGCTATAAAGATGTCATCAAACTCAGCTTAACCTCCACAAATATCAGACGCTGGCCCTTTAAACCGCTCCTGCACAATCCTGATCTTCATCCCAACTCTAAAGAAGTCTCTGAATGCACAATGCAATATTAAGGGAAGCATTTCAGTAGCTGAAAATTGTAATATTGCATAAAACATTTGCAATTACAGCACCGTTTCAATCCCATGTGCTCAAGAGAACAAAATCTTCACTTTCTAGAAAACCGATGCAAAGTATCAGTGCAACCAGGGAAGCCTTTTTTCCCCAACATAAATGACTCGCGTGCAAATAAATTCCAGTAACAAATGCTTTCATGCATTCCCAAACATCAGTTACACAATAAGTTGATCCAATCACATGACCTGCTGAGGCGGTGCATGCTTTTTATTGCATCATTTATTGATAAAGAATGTGTTACTTTCTGTTTCAAACATTATTCAGCTCAATCAGGGTTATTATAGTGGTAACGCTTCCTTTTACAGTACAGTACTGTACTTACCTAGAAAGTACTGGCTAATATAAGGTAAGTACATGGAACAGACTTAGGTTTAGGGGTAGGTTCAGGGTTAGTACTAGTTATTACCCAGTAATTGTAGTTACTAAAATAAGTACATTGTATTTAAATGGGTAACTGGACTGGAAAAGGAAGCATTACCATTATAGTTAACTAAACCTAAAAACAGAAAATATAAATATAAAAACTAATTCAATTCAAAATATGAATAAAAAATCCTGAAACAAAGTATTGCAATGACACGTAAATAGCATTAGCCTCAATTAACCGCATGCATTTTTTTTAAGATCTGATATGCATCTTGGCGTTTCCATCCAGGGTTTTTATATGCGACATTCCAAAATTT